CCGGATGCAACAATGGCACGCCAATCGATCTTTGTTAAATAAAACCAAGCGATGCAATTCACGTAAGGAAATCACTATAAATCACATAGTTGGCCTTATAAATGATAAACGTAGACAATGGCCTGTCAGTGTTAATATCAGACAATATACTTCTGTACTATCGCGGAGAAAAGTGACTTTATTTTCATCTGACAAAAATCAGTTTTCTGACTTTCTTATTTTAATATTTTAATCGTTGAATTTTTTTGTAACGAGCAAGAATACAGAGATAATCGCTGTTTTATATTATATCGACTGTGAATAATTGTACCTTCCGATATGTATGTCCATCTTGAAGTAAATAATTCCTTTTGCACATCGTGTCTTTTTCCAGAAATGTGCGCTACGGTATAAAATATCACGTGATCATATTTCTCTGGAAAATTCTCACTCGATTGTTAAAATGTTCACAGATCGTTTACTCGTTTTAATATTCTTGTTCCGTGCTAATTTTTTACCACTTGGCAAAACGAGTTACGTCGTATTGAAATTAAATAATATTCAATAGCTTTAGCTCAACGCAGAATGATCCAATAAAAATGGAGCTACCAGTCATTCAAAAAAAAAAAGAGAATGATTCTTAAAAACGAATGCTCGAACTATAAATTTCTATCTGCGCGTATGCTCGAATTTTCCACTGCAATCAATGAATTTATTTCACCAGGAGCCTCTTTATTTCAGGGTCGTTGCCTGATATCGCAGTGACGATGGCATCGGGAAGAGAAATTTACGGTGCATTCAGGTGAGCAATCAGTAAATCTTTATAAAATCAAATAAACTTGATCAGTGTTGTATGATGAGAAATAAACAAGAAAGAAATACGTATAAAGAATCATGTGATAGAATTAGGGAAACAACAGGATTAATGTTAACAGTAGATTATTCCGATCGAATCATGCACACATTTCCAAACGCGTATTCGAAAGCCTGCTATTTCCAGAATTTTCGTGGGAGTAAATATCCAACATGGCCTTTCGTTTTGCCAGAAAAGTCAGCTTAATAGTTCATGACATTCAATAATATAATCATCTTAATGAATTACTAATTCAATTTGATACACAAATAATGTTGTCGATTTCAGTTTCGTTGGTCCTGCAATAATTTCAAGATAAACAAATCTAAATAGGTTTTTCGATTTTGATATCTCAAAGACTTACAGATTAATAATAATAATAATCCATATATTACAATATACTGTCATATTTCTATCGAGAGATCACTGTACCGCAGCCGGCATTCAGCCAGCATAATAGATCACGGAAATGAGTAAACTCTCGGTTTCCTGTCTTTCTTTTCTCCTTTCGCCTTGACAATATTTTTTCGATATAATTAAACTGAGACATTTTTTTTATAATAAAAAAAATGAAATATACATTGTCTCGTCTCTAAATATTTTTGGAATTCTAATAAAGTAGTCGATTAATTGAACTAATTGGGAAACAAACCCTTTTAGATAAGCGGTTTTTCGGATAATCTGAAAGTACTAAATTTGTGATTATGTCATAAAGAAACGGTTTTTAAATATGGATGTCTATTATGTAAAAGAATACATCTAATAATCAGTATATGCTTTAAAACTTCTATTATCTTTTAACTAGGTATGCAATTTAAGAGCTTTCTTTTAAATTAATGCAAGATCCATTTGTATACAACTCGGTCGAATTTATCATCACTTGCTGTTTTCAAGCTTCTATAGAAACCTCTTATTACCCAAGTTAGAAAGTTTGAAATTTTCACTATTTTTAATGTCCCTAATTCTAAGTTTCCTAACATATTCTATGGCTAAATAAAGAAAACGTGTTTTTTCTTTTTCCTATTTTCTTGTTTCAATTTTAGCACCACTCTTTTTCTTTTAATACTCATGATACAAATGAGATCTGTACGTAAGCAGTTCATTGAGACGCTAAAATTTGAAACACATCCCCAAATATAAATATTGCTAGAGATTGTAATTGAAATATATACATATGTAATTAGGTGGTTCATTCTGTATTGGTGAATAATGGAAATTTAAATTATCGATGTTTTGGATAATCGGCGTTCGAACAATCGACGTTTTACTGCACAGTATTTCACGTAAAATCAATTCGTTATCCATAGCCTAGACTACGTACTTCAGTACCAATGACGTAACATTGACGCAAGCGACAATTGTTGCCACTAGAATGCTGCAGGGCAGAACGTCGATAGTTTAGACCAACTATAAAAATCATGTCCTCCTTGGCAGCAAGACCAACTGCGTTCTCAAAATTGAAATTGAAAATAGAGAATTGTGTCGTCACGATTGTTGTTACTCTTATTGTTATTGTGTATACATATGTGTATACAGCGATAATAATTTCATTGAAAAATAATTGAATCGAGAGCTTTTAAATTCACTTTTCAATTATTTCTTTCTTTCTTTTGAATTTAGAATTAACTTCCTCCTCCTGAAATAAAAGTATCATATCAATAATCCGTATAAAAATAAAAGTAACAGTTGTCGATAGGGAAGAATATCCTATCTTTCTATGTTCTCTTTAATTTACAGCCTGATCGTGGATGACGTTGATTCTCATCCGATATCGAGCGAAAACTCAGATTTAGATGGTTTGTCAAATGAAACCAGCTCTCAGAATTCATCGTCACAGACTCCGTTGGACAGTCCAGGTGGACCTAGGGAGAAGATTAAACAGATGCAAGTGGAAGCCGAAACCAGAAGAGGAGAATTCGCGAGGCTACTCGAAGAACATGCTCAAGTAGTGAGAAAGTTAAAGATGATGGAGGCTGAAGAGCAACTCTCAGCAACCGGAAACGTAGTCGGAGCTACGCACGCGTGATTCCATCGTTGATCGCGTAAAGTAGAATTGGGGACCACCGCGCTTTTGCGATGCGCGCCGATTCTTTTGAGTGCGATGGCAAATTGCAACAATTTTCTGAAAAAGTGTCGTATGAGTTTCAGAATACATTTGTGCGATATAAATAAATACCACGATTCAATAGGAAATAGAACGATGTTAAAATGTAAGAGAAAACTATTTTTTAAACAATGCATATTTCTATGGTCTGAAAAAAAAGAAACGATTAATTGCTGTAGAATGAAATTTACGAAGATTAATTTTGAGCAATCATAATGTAAAATGTAATAATGTAATGTTGCTTCGAATGAAAGCGATGGAAAAATATATAAAATAGAAACGAGATTCATACGCAACAACTGCTTTTTTTTTTTTTTTTTTTTTTTTTAGTAAATTTAATTAGGAGTTTACAAAACATGGCAAAAATCTTGCGATGATTAGTTCTTAAATATGAAACGAACTTTAATTTCATCCGAAACGTCGCGTTATAAACGTTCGTTTCTATCTCTTAAAACGCAATCTAGTTTGCAAACAGTGGATTTGTAAAAGTAAAAATAATCGATCGAAGCTCGGCTATATTGCTCATTATACTAGGAGAATTTGACGGAACGTCCAAAATTAATTAGCTCGAGAAGACTATCTCGACTTGCGTCTATCACGAAGTCTGAAAAACTTCTTCTGTAAGACAATAATAAAAAAAGCGCTCGGCATACATTCTTCAAGCCTCGAAATAATAGGATTAATGTATCCGATGTACATATGCAGCAAAAATGGCTGGCCTAAAAGTGTAGTACAAACTTTCGAAACAAAGAACAAGGTATAGTTCTAACCCGAATAGTGAGAAATCTTCGGTTTTAGCACTGTTTTTAATACACAATCGTTTATAGAAACATTTTCATTTCCAAGGAGAACTTGGATTCATGGGATTCATTTCCATGAATATCGAAATCATAAGCATGTAGTACATCTCGATGAAGTACAAGCTTCTACATTTTATAGCGTTGTATATTTGAGTGTTCTGTACGTACAAGTAAATAATTTTATATACATACATATGATAGCATAGGAGTCTAAGCCTGCCGTAATACACGTAAATTAACTTTCTGTAAATAGATTTCTTTTTTAATATGATGCATCGTCTAAGGTGTTCATCCACGAGAAGCCTTATATAATGTAGTTATACAGTAAAAGGAATAATCATTACTGAGAATCTTATTTTGCGATGTCTTATAAAATATTAAAGGTTCACGTTTAATATGGACCAACAAATCACAACAATGATTTTCCTTATCTCCACGTGCATATTGCGTCAGGTTTTTATTGATATAAATTAGGTATTATTAGGCATTTATAGAAATATGCACATATACATATGTAAAAAAGTATATAAATAGAAATACTTAGCATATGTATTAACCTTGCTATTACTAAAAAAAATCCCTCAATGTAATAAATCGAACATGTGAGGTATAAAAAAATTTAATTTCTCCTTTTTTTTTTTAAGATAATGTCTGAAATATATTTTATAATTTAAAAAAATTAGTTTTCATATTAAAAGTATATATTTCTTCAACATGATGATAAAAAAATACAATAATACTTCAAACTCATTTGAAAAAATGCAAAGTGAATGCATAATTGTTTCTGTCATTATAATATTAGTTTGTAATACTAATGTTTGTAGTATGTATTCTTAGAAAATAAATATTATATATTGGAAATATTGCTAGCCTAATTATAGCAATATCATATAAACAAATATGTATTATAAGTAATGTAAAGTATATCTAGATATAATTAGAATTATAAATACTGTATAATTGAAAAAAATATATACTTTATTGAATTGGATATATACACTCTTTATCACAGAAATTATCTTTGATTTCTTATTATACATCTCTCTTTATAATAATAACTATATCAATTGAATATGTTCATTTCAAAATAATAACATTAGATAATAAAATTGATATAGAATATTTAACATTCTTATCTAATAATTTATATAAGAAAATTTTTGTAATATTTTGTAATACAAGCCTACATATAAGTGAATTGTCAATACTAAGAATGAATGTATTCAGATAATATAATGAAGAAAGTGGGAAAATGTCATCAACAAAAATAAATGAAATTAGATAAATACTCTAAAACTAAATATAAAAAAGGCTTTACCTGAGGCTTGTATTTTGTATAGACCACAATTTTATGTTTGAGGCAATGTACGTTGAGCCAACGACATTATTCTATGACTCAATTTAACATTATGATCTCTTAAATATCTTATCAAATCTGCTTGTTTTTCAAGTAATTCTTCCAAATTAGATCCCCCATGACGACAACCTACTTCATTGCTACCTGCATATGTATCTTGAGTAAAAGAAGATAGCCATTCTTCTCTAGAAACATCAGGTGGTGGACGTAATCGATTGAATCTCAAAACTTTTTCTGCAAAATAAAAAATGTTTATAGTTTTGAAATTTGTTATGTATTATAAATTTTTCAATATTTTTTTATATACTTACTGATGTAATTTATATAAACTGGTATGATAATTGTAAGTTCTACCGTGGTTAACAACACTATATAATTTAGAGGAGTAAACCATTCTGATGCACGACAATATTCTTCATAATTAACTTTGTGCGTATGGTGTAAAATCACAGCCAACAATAAATAACATGTCATCCACAATGATGCTATGAAAAGAGGTGTTCTTATTTGTTGATACGTTGATTGATAAAAATCAAGGTATCCATAAATACGAAGTTTATGGTGCTTTATTTTTACTAAATGATCCGTCAACATAACTATCAACCAATAAGCACAATGAAGATATAAATATATAAAATATGTATCACATTTATTTTTTTCTTCAGGCCACACACATATAAATATAATTCCTGTAATTTCTAAAGACACCTAAAAAAACATAATATTTGCATGAAAAACTTTTATATCTTTTATATATTCAAAGAAATTGACACTTACACTAAATATAAGGGGAAAAGACACAATTGATACAGTATCTAATTTTTGAAAATGTTCTTCTTGAGAAATTAATATAGGTTGAAGATATTCATCATCATCCATATTGTGAGACGAATCAAAAAATACCCCTCCCTAATAAATGTATATTCATAAATAATCGCTTCATACAATTTTCAGTAAAATATTTTCAATACATGAAAATCACGTGTAAAAGTCTATAATAGAATTATAATGTTAATAGAATACAAATTAGTTCAAAAAACGATTGGCAAAGAATCATAAAATAAGGTTATGTTTACGTCATATCAATACTAATAAAGAAAAACTACAATAAGGTAGTAATATGATGAATAACATAATTTCTGTTATACTCACTCTACCTAACGTATTTAAATCTCTGTTAAGACTGACCATTCCAGCATAAAAGATGATAAAAAAAAAACAAAGAAGTTCTACTGTTCACCACCAGAATTAAACTAACATTTTTGTTTGTAACGTTTAAAACATGTTTTCTGAACAAACATGCTCGGAATTATTTAATTCGTAGAATGATAAATGGTACAAATCATTTAGATTTTAGGTACTGTTTAATTTATATATAACGGATCATACTTGTAATACGCAACAAGATCAAAATGTCTACCATGTATAGTATTAGCTGACAGAAATTGTACATAAACATCGTACGAAATTTAACCTACCAATTTTAAATTAATTGACGAACATTTAAACTTATTAATGATTTATTACAAATACAAGAATAATAGTAAACATATGAATGTGTATGTATATATATATATACTTTTTAAATTTATATAAATATAATGTATGTACAAATTTAAAAAGTTAAAAAGTTTGTAAAAGTAAAATGCTAATAATCCAAGAATACCAAATTTCTGTATTCGTGCTAATATTAATCAGAGGATGTTGAACAAATATACACAGGATATACACAGGAAGCTTCAAACTTTATTTTTAAAATACGAAATAAATCAAATATATATATATATATATATATATATATATTCTACATATAAAATTGCGTCATATAAAATTGTGTTTAAATATAGATTGTTTGTTGATTGAATCTTTAAAAAGATTTTTATAGTATTCAAACATAATAATTCAAACATAATAGTTTTAGGGAATCAATTTTAAATCGATGTTCAAATTTCTCAAATAGAATAGCTTCATATTTAAAAAAAAAAAAAAAAAAGAAAACATATAATGGAAAACACAACCTATATAATAGATTATACAAAATAATTTCGTTTATAATCGAAATTCATCAAAATTCATTGTAAATTTGTTTGAATAAAATTAACAAGTATGTTTGGACGACAAATATTTTTAGAACCTGTAGATAACCGTAGATATAATGAAAGACGTAATGAATATATTCAACAATTTTCTACAAATCAAGGACAGGGTGTATCATTTAATTCGCCAGTGAATATACCATCTTTAAGAAACGATGCATTGACGTTTGATTTAAATTTCATTCTTCTCGAAGATAATGATTATGGCCAACCAAATAATCTATATTTACGAACGTTAGTATATGCACACGTATAAGAAATTGGTTTTATTAATTTAAACAAATTGTCAGAAGGAAATATATAGGATAAATTGTTAATTATACTTTAGTAATCCTGGAAACATACCTAATCGATATTTATTGGAGTATATAAGGCAAATGAAAGAAAGATACCTAATCATGGAAAGAGAATTAACAAGAACAAAAATGTTGATTCCTGTAATTACGCGTAACACTAATATTATACATCAATCGGTATTTTAATCATTTCATTAATTATCTATCATGCTAACATTCTTCTGCTTATATTTAATTTCATTCTTCTAAAGTCTCAAACAGATGTAAATTGGAAACAATGTTCCCTTACAAGATATGGACATTTTTTTGGAACCTCTTCAAAAAATCAATATAAAAACAAGCAAGAGCAAATTAAGATTTCGTCAAGAAGGAAGCATTATACGAAAAAGAATAAAGATTCAGTTAGCAAGATTTTAGATGATCCAGACTATATGAAATACAAAAATTCGTCACAGGTATTCGTTGAAAAATTAACAAGTTAAATTGCGATTGCTTGCACTTCTGACACGGTCTTTCAGAATCTACAGAATGATATTTACCCTATGAAAGAGCCTGATAGTAACACGTTTCAACCAGGAATATTAACTAGCAATCCAACTGCAGTTTGTTCGATGCACAATGTTGCTGTGATTCTCCCACAGGATCCAACTCAATTCACCGATTCATTGAAATACAAACAAACTAATTCTAAAGTATTTCATATCGAATAATATCAAAAAAACACGATTGAAATACATTTCTTAATGTAATTTTTAGGTGAATGACAAAATCCATAAGCCTGAGTCTGATGATTCGAGAATTATTTTTGGTAAATCGAGAAAACATTTCGGTCGCTTCGAGACACAAAAGGTATTAAGGTCGCAAGTTCTTTACCAAGCTAAGCTAATTAAATATAATAAGATACATAACGAAGACTATTTTATTTTATAAATGATTCGAAACTATTGTAATTATCGACGACGTAAAGACGTCGATGGAAGCATGCCAAAGCTTCGACAAGAAACATAAACCGGAAACGTCGTACTACGCTAACTTCGATGTCAAACATGAAGATCATACGCAGACTAAACCTACTGTATATGATCCAGAATTTCGGCCAGTAATGGAATCGAAATTTAACAGCGATATTTCCGATCAATCTACATCCTACTGTCAACAACAGAATACCAATACCGAGGAAAAATGCATGTTTAAAGGAAACAAATTTCTTGAAAATGCAGATGCACATCGAAAAGATAATTTCGATGTTCGTCAAATACCTCAAAGTAATCGCAATTACTGGAACAACCACGCGAATAAGTTGTCCTGTGAAAGAACGAGTTATACAAACGATTCCTCGAGACAATTCACGCGCACGATACAGAAACAGAAGAAAGAAATACATAAGAAAATACCAACTCCACGTAGTAATGTTCATACGGCTTACACACCTATTATGCAACCTCTCGCGTGGAATTCTATGTTAGATCCCAATGGTTTTACCATTCAATTATTAAGGTATGACACAGGGAATAGAACAAGAAATGAAATTTTCAATCTCTCTTCATATTTTGATTTCTATTTCCACAGACTTGCAGTGTTACTTTACGCCCCGGCATTGATGCCGGCATTAAATTCATTGATTGCACGACAGAGTATTCAAACGACAATTCCAATACCTTGCTCCGAAGGTTCAAATGATTTGTTGACGCAAATTTTCGCAATTTTGAACAGTCAGCAATGTGTTCCAAATTTACCGTACATAGCAAGCCCTCGAATCGACGAAAATTCTGGGCAACCTCGAGAATCGAATTCACATAATTTAACACGGCAATCAAACTCGCTTTCTGAGGTAATTCTTTATTCTATATAGGGAATGATTATAAACTCTGTTTAAGATGATCAAGTTGTTTTCAAACGTATTTAGAATCTTTCGAAGCAACAGCAAGATGATGATGCTTGCAGTACGAAAACTTTCGAGAGCAATCAGTTTGACAAAAATTCAATCGCTGTTAATACTTCTTTAGAAATATGTAACTGTAATAATATGAAACAGTCGTTTCCGCAACATGGCAAAAATACTTTACACGACCAGGTAGAAGAAAATGAGAGGTTGATGTATACGTGGACAAAGAAAACATCAAAATCCTCGGAAACAGTAGTGTTAGAAAAATCAGTATCGCAATGCGAACAGATGGAGAAAAATTCGGAAAGAGTACCAGAAGATTCTGAATTCTCTCAAACTTTATTAGCGCAAGAAAACACTGACGTTTGGGATGATCAAAATTGGGACGATTGAAAATTTTGAAGTTTACAAATATTTGGAAATGCTGATCAAAGGTTATCATATTTCAATAAAAATATCTTTAGATCTTACTGAAATATTGAACAAGTGTCAAATAAATTAGGAACGAAAGCTTGGTGTATGTTACGTATTAGCTACTAAGGACGCTTGCGCATGGTTCGAACACGTGGCGAAGGAAGAAACTTTTCGACGAACGTTTGTTCAGAACTGCAGTCTTACGAGCTTTCGCTGCCGAAGCGCGTCCTACGATACACTAGCTTTCATTTCTTACTTTTACTTGAAAGTGTAACAATAAACCATCGAATACATTGAAAGATATCATATAAACATCGATTGCAAAAGCTGCATTTATACGTTTCTAAAATTAAACATTAAAAATTAATGAAGAAGATTTCATAATACATTTCAGTTTTGGTTGTACGTGTGACCCGACTCGGTGGGATTTTTTCTAAAATCACTGTGAAATATAAATTGATATCTCTGTAAGGTGGCAACGATAGGCAAGAAGGATTGGAAGAAATGAGAATAAAAAGAAAAATTAGGAAAATGGATATACAATTAAAAGAAATTCAATCGGAATTGTAATTTTTTAGCTTGTACTAAAATAAAGAAAGAAGAAATCGTGTTACGATGAGTAAGGAAGAAAATAGCGATGGGGCTGCTCAGGAAGGACCTGGTGGTGAAGCCTCGAAGAAGGACGCGGATATATTTGAAAATCGAGGCACTAAGAAAATACTACGTTTGGTCACTGTAATGGCTTATATGTTCTCAGTAAGTTTCGTAGCCATCGTTTTAAGTGCGTATTATTTATTTCTTTGGCAACCACCTAATCCACGACTTTTGCGAAGACCAGTTCAATTATCTTCCGAGCCTGAAATGCAATTCTTAATAAGCGATCGAGAAATTATCCAAGATGAACCAAGTAAACATGGACAACACGCTAATGCTACATACATTTCGTTCTCTAATCGTTTTAATGATGCAGAAACATTCGCCAATGATAACGATCATTCAAAGAAGCATCGTGAAAACTTGAAAGAATCTTTGTTTCTATTAAGAAAGTCTCTAATCGAGTCTTGGAAAAATAAAATCAATGATTCAAAGTCTTCTGTTCAAAACTCCGCTCAAGAAAACGGGACGTCTAATTTTTTAAATTATACTACGTCGAAAAAAGAAAAAACGATAAACTTGACGAGAGGATCGAGTGGAAGAGATGCAAGAAATTCCTCTAAAATTATGAGTCGTATGCTCGGTAATAATGGTACATCTCAGATACTGGAGTCTTCGACTATTTCTGGAGATGAAGTGAATAATGATTTTGCGAATGCTAGAAACCATTCCGTGTACGAGGCGTCTCGAGATATTTTTCGATTAAATCACAGTTTAACGAGAAACATAGTTACCAGTCAAAATCAATACAAAAAAGATGTTTTGTCGAACTTTACGCCTAATAAAGAAAGTGTAAGAGTTAAAACGCCTCAGTATCCAGCGATAAATGATAAAGAAGATCTTGATATCGAAAAAAGTAGAGAAGATCGTACACATAATATTAACAATATAAGTCAAGCAACCGATTTAAATGAACAATCGACCCTAAATTTTTTCCGTAATTTGGAATTTGCAAATCGTCCAGAATATCCTGAACAATCAAATCAATCACCAGTAAAACTAGCAAACATTGCGTTGAAGTTCAAAGGTAAATAAATTTTCTATAATTTGCTTTTTTCTATTTCAGTCGTATTACCATTCCAGATATATGATTCTGGTAGCATATATTTTGTAATTCATTTAAGTGACAAACATGATTGTTAATTAATTTTTCAACAACCGCTATACTATACTTACAATTATATTTTAATGAAAGCAAAGCATACGAATGTCTCATACAACTCTGACAAAAAAAAACGTAAATTAAAACCTTAGAAAGAAAATAGTCAGTGGATTGGCCTACGATGATTATCCGTATTGTCCACGTAATGACCAGAACAGGGTCAGGCCGATCCATTATGGCTTCTTTAACGTTGCATCGTTAGAAAGATCTTGCAATTTCTTTGAACAAATCTTGTCAAATCTATTTTTAATTTTAACAATTTTATTTCATTTTTAAATTCATCTCCCTTTCAAACAATATACTTGAATATAATATTTAAAAATGATCCCTACTTTTTTTTCTGAATTTTTTTTTAAAGATATATGAAATCTTCGGTTGAATAATAACCTCTGAGCGTACTACTATCTTTATCTGAGAAATGATTGAAGAACAATTTTAGTAAATGCTATTAAAATAAAGGCGTGCCTTCCCTATAAAACGAGAATATCCTCATCGTCTTACTCCTAAGGCGAAAAACCCCGTTAGCTTTGACTAAAATTTATGGGCTCTATTCTTACCATTTGTAACCTTCGAATTATATCTATCGAAACGATCACATTTACCTAAATGGAACTCTTTGTAAATATATCCTATTTGTGATGTGACAAGCATTAAATTTTAAAACAGCTCAAACTTACGTAAAGTGATTGTGTAACATTTTTAATCGTTTTCTTTGTCGCTTCTACGGAAGCACTTCGATTCGAAATCGATATACTTATATAGTATCTTATCGAACATTTTTTTTAAATTTAATATATTATTTTATATAATGTGTATCAGATAGAGAAGTTCTTATCAATTGAACTTTATCTTTTGCTATTTCTACTAAGAAAGAAAAGCTAAAATAAATAAAATATTATTCCAATTAGAAAGTAATGTTATAAAGTAATGATGATCATCAATATAAATCAATATATGCTGTTAAGTACGTACATTTGTCAAAAAACATAGGAAGATTTCGATTGGTGGTGAATAGATATAACGAATCTGTGTTTATTACATTGATTTAAGGACGTTTTTGTCAATGAATCCCGTAAAGTTGAGCAACCCTTAAAGCTTGAAAAACGAAGCACAATGAATCATGATTCTGAGACTTGCGCAATGAAAACCCCTAGATACATACATATTGTGTATGGACGAGTTCGTTTTAACAGCTGTATTAGTGTGAACCGTTGATCTAGCTAGTTAAGAGACAAAAATAGTAGAATCATGAAAATGTCGATGAAAACCCACTGAATATTACATTTTCGAGAACTGATTTCATTCTTGACAAATTATCGTGAAGTTCCCTGCCACTGTTTCCGATACATTTACATCTTTCCGTTCGGAGACGCCCAACCGATAAACCAAACCGCTTACGAAAATTCGAGAATCGACAAAAAAGTGAATTCGAATTTGTGGAAAATCGTAGGAAACATTCGATCAGACACGTAACCTGTCGAACGCGAAAGCATTCTGCGTGAGAGAGTGTTGGAACAGAAGATATATTTAAACTGCGGAATTTGCAGTAATATTCTCGCAATCCTTTACTGACCGTTCCGTCAAATATAAAGCAGCAAGAAAATTACAAATACGTAACATTCGATGAAAACAATGTACCCCTGGATATTTCCCTTGAAACCTTACATCGAAACACCATGGTTATGTTTGCGGCCCTTTCACGACTTTGCGGTTAATAAAAACAGAAACGTTATAACGTTCCACTGAAATATTATGTCAGAGCTGGAAGTTCATAAATTCTATTTATAAGCTTGATGATCGAGATCGAGGAAAACGGATTTCTTTGAAACATCAACACGTTGAGAATGCAGCTACCGCGCAAAATGAGTGCTCAAAACGTGATGGCGAGCATTAGTCGTACATTGGGAAATCGCGATCATAAGCCAGCAGGCAATGAAATTCGATTCGCAGGCGACGAAAGGAAAGACAAGCTCTACGAGCCAAAGCACAAACAAAAGGTGGTACGAGTATTGACGGTGGTGGCCTATGTTATATTTGTTAGCATGGCAGCTATCTTGTTATCATTGTATTATACATTTCTATGGGATCCTAAAGTTCCTATCAAGATGAGAACGAAACCAGACTGTGCTAATATAAAATTACCAAATTTTCACACCACTCCCTCTATCATAAACGGTAAAAATAGGATTTAAACAACTAAAATCCTTCAATTGTTGTGATGTTATTCGTTTTAAAATCGACTTCTTATTCAAATTCTGATACACATTCAATGATATAGAAATACGTGATTCATTACTTCAAGATTGCTGATCGTTGCAAGAGGCTAATTCAAGGCGATAAAATCAAAATTATTTTCTCCTTTTTCAGAAACGCAGACAGAAAAAATGACAACAAAATTATTAACTGTGGCGAACGAGCAAAGTTCTCTGTCAGAAGTCACAACCATTCCACAACAAAAGGATTTGCTAACTATTTTAACAGAAATTGCTGAATCATCTACTACTTCTTTGCCAACAACATTCGAGGATTTACAAACTAATTTAACTACAGAAACCAAAGAAATATCTACTCAAATACATTCTAACGTTAATTAATTTCCCAGAAGAGTATTAAAAATGATTAAAAAAAAGAATTAAAATTTATTGTCAAGACTTTTAGTTTTGTCGTGATACTTATAATAAGTATTTATAGTTAATATCGATAAAATAATTATAAAATACTAAATGAATATTTTTTGAGACAAATTATAATTATTTACTAAAATAATCTTAGTATTGCGAAATTATATAATTCAAACAATAAAATGATTTCCGTAAACAAGATCGTTTTTAACAACTGTAACTAAGATTGTATTTCTTTCGATGCATTTAAGAATATGTTAATAAAAAAATTAAGGAAAATGGCTAAGATAAAAACGTTTTTCGTTATTAATAATAAACTATAAATTTTTACATATTTAATAATTTTAATAGCTACAATATTAATAACAGACAAAATGTTAATAACTATACAAAATATATTCACATACTTTATATATTCTATTCACCAGTCATAAGCATGTGGATAGATTTTTCTGATCCAAGCATTTTACTTGCTCTTTCAGTTCCTACAATTGCAGAAAGATGCATAATGTCGTATTTACAATATAAAATAGTAACCGTCATATTACTTTCAGAACCTGATTGTGGATTTTGATAAGCTTCTTGCATTAAGTTACACATTTCTGTGTAAAATTGTGAGAAAATTGGTGGTGCATAAAATATAATGTGTCTTATACCTTTCACTCTTATTCTATGGAAAAAGTGAAATCGTTCCGAATATAAAAGAAAATGTGCATCACTGTGAAAGAACATGTCTCTTGCTCTTGCTACTTTTGCATCTTTGGAATATTCACAAATTTGCACAAAACTATATTCTTCTTTTTTTAAATAATTTCGTAATTTCACAAAATCAAAGTAAGATGGTATAAAAATTAACGTATGATTCATTATTCTATCCTTATATTGGGGAAGTATTTTTGTTATAAAGAATTCCATTCTACATTCCAAAGCTTGAGAATGATTGGAAGCATTGAATCTGTGAAACACTTGTGGAATTTGTACAAGTACTTGACAAATAGATCCAGAAGAAACAGGATTTATTATTTTTACTTTTCCTGCATAATTGTAACATTTCTTATTAAATATTCCATAAATCTCAGGTATATGAATACTTGAAAATATTAATGTCTGTCTATAATATTTAGTCCATCCATGTGCACACCAACTTCTTACTCTTGAAAAATCTGTTCCATGAGATTCTTTTGGTTGTAAATGTAAATGATTTAATACATGTATCATGTGATCCCAGTTTTGCATTAAAAACAATTCTGCTTGGTCAAGAATCAATAATTCTATCGATGCCAAAAAATCATAATCTCTATCTGCTTCACCTTCTGCACCTATTAATATTCTTAAACCTAATAAGGATGAAATTATTATGTCAGAAGAGTAAAACTCTGAATATAGTTTTAAAGTCTTTTTCGTAACAGAAATTCCTATCTTAAAAGTATCATCTGTATTTCCTTGAAATGTCAATTCATAATCTTCAGGTTTTGGATTTCTTTTTGGCATTATTAATTCGTTACCACTGAAATCTTCCATAAATCTGTTCTTATTTATTACTGAGCCACCTTTATCTTCTCCAATTAGAATAGATATCAATAATTCGACAATTTTTAAACACGAATGCCTAAAAGGAACTATTATTAAAACTTTTGGTCTCACTAGACCCTGATCTCTATACTCATCTGGTACTTCTGCCATGTTTGTACATTTTGACTTTATTTTTGTGTTGTGGTGCAATACCTTTGTTCGTGTTTTCAACACATGATTAATTGCATGTAAACAATATATAAATCTTATTTGATCTACATTAGAAAATGTCCTCTCAGGGTAATATAAATCTTGATAATTATTTATTATTGAAAATAATTCACTTTGTAAAGGAGTCATAGGAGATGAGTCTATGTTCACATTATCTTTTATATTTGAATAATTTGCTTTGGCAAGATTACCTTGAATTTGAGATTTTACATATAATTTATTCCAATTTACATTATCAATCAATTGAGGAACAGTACCACACTGTGCAAACTGTTTATTTTCTAAAATAGAAATCTTTGATTCTTTCATCGTGTCTTTTGTATCATCTGAGGATTTTGGTATTTGGCATATAAGATTGCCTAAAACAGGCCAAGTGATCTTTTGTGTTTCCATAATTTGTGGAACATTAGAAACTGCTTCGTAAAGGTTATCACTCAAATCATTGTTAAGATGAATTGAAAATGGATTTTCTAAATAACCAGCATCTTCTTTAGCAGTTTCAGGATCTTCTTCGTCAATCTCTTTCATTTTTATTTCTTCATTATCATTCACTGACTCTGGTTCTTCATCTGTATTGTTAGAGTGCACTTTTAAATTGTCACTAACTCTGTCAATATCATCACTAGTACTATCACTTTCTGAATTAGATTCGATAGCAGTTAGTTGTAAATTAGTAGTATTCGAAAATGAAGATAATAAATTTTGTAATGGATTTTCTTGTTCATTGCCAGAATCGTCACTTTCTGCGTTTTGTTGTTGCTGTAACTTTTCTTCTTCCAACATTTGTCTACGTTTCTCGATTTCCTTATTTTTCGCATTTCGATCTTTGACATATGAAGCCTCTTTTAGGTTAAATTTACCTTTTTTCGGCTTCGGTTGATCATTAAATCGGTGAAATTTTCTTTTTCCACCACGAACTGATCTTCTATTACGTGCCATTATTATTAAACATTAATTAACAATTCACATATTAACAAAACTTTCTAAGTAATAAACAAAAATTCATCCACGTGTCTCTGTCGATGTTTGTAAAATCTATGAATATGTATTGTTTAGAATGGTATACACATAGATGTATATATGCACATTCATAATTAAATAAATTATATATTTAAATTAAATTATAACATATATTTAAAGAAATATAAAGATTTTAGTTTATAATAATCAGTCTCACGATCTTTGATCAGACACGATATGTTTTTCAAATAGGTTATGTTCGTTGAGTTTAAATTGCATGCACTATTCAATAATATAATTTATTCCTTCACTTTCAAAAACCTATTTGTCACATCAGATATATTCTATAGACGAGATATTAGTATAAAGTAAAAAGCAATATTTTAAAATAAAATAATAGGGTATTTTGTCAGTCTATATGTAATACATATTTTCTAATGTAATTTTATATTAATTGCTAATTAGTTAATAATCGTATGTAATAATACTTTATATTTTATTTCTACAATTTAATGTTAATAGATGTTATATTTGAATTAAAAATTTTATAATTAATAATGACATATAATTATCATACATACTTATAAATAGTTGTGGCTGTCGTTAAACAAAATATTATTAAGTATATAATGTGTCGTTACATACTTGTATATACATAAAACAACGAATCAAGATTTAAATTCATTTTCATTTTAGAAATTAATTACCACTTGGAAAACCGGAAGGAACTTTTAAAATAAATTCTCCGTTATCTAGATCACGTGACTAATGATTTTAATAGATAAATTATCGTATTTAACTGAATTTTTTAATTTCTATTTTTCCTGTCTACAATCATGCGAATCAGAATTTCAAGTAGTTGACAAGTGATAAATAACGAAAATATATATAAGTTCTTGATGTTTATATTGATAATATATATAAATATTATATTGTATAGTTTGTCATATTAAAAAGAAGTACTCATACCATTTTTTTATTACCGGCTATCTGGGACATGATTAACATTCATAGTTTAAAATGGTCCGTGATAATTGAATATGCATTCTTAATAAGGTGAAATAACGCAGGAAGTAGAAAAAAGTAGATAAAATTAATTAATCCTTTGCTCGGTTGTTTACAAAATATCCGGTTCCTGACAGGCTGTCAGAGTCAACGAATTCAGGCAATGCTGCGCGCGCAATAATAACACAGCGCTCACAGTGCCGTGCATTCTTTAATTTTATTTAATTTCTTCGTCGCAACGTTGAATTACAAAAAATTGAAAATATTTAAAATAATTATATGTACATTAATGGGACATATATAAAATCCGATCGTAGATATTATGTCATATCGCTATTTTATAAAAATGTTACTCTATATGATTTTACACATCATCTTGATATTGTTAAAAATATATTAAAATTACTAACGATTCATACGCACGTAAATAGATATTATTGAGATCTTCAACAGAATATGTCGAAACGTACCTTTTCTTACGATATATATACATAGATATTTCAAGTATCTGAATGTTTGCGACGTTGAATATTTGAAATTTTTTTATTACGCTACTCATTCAATGTATACGAATTCATTTTTGCGTTACACATTGCTTATCACATGGAGGTAAAGGGAATATCAGGGGCATGGTGGGGACGGAATTATTCTATACGAGGTTGAGAGTATGAGCTGCGGGTCGTAAATGCACGACGGGCAGTTTCGATATAGAACTTGGAGCGCCCTTAGCAGCGGTTGTATGCAGAACCGGTAAGCTGTGATTATCTGGAAGTTTTTCAATACAAGAGACTGCCTAGTTGGTGTTTGACAGCTTTTGTAAGCTCTCGGAGAAGAAATTATCGACAGACGTGTAGAAAGGCAGAAACCAACGCAAGTTTTTTCGTGTCTGATGAGCTCCTCCGTCGCACCGCTGGTGGTAAGATGGCTGTGCAGTTGGATGGAGGAGGGAAGGAGGACTTGAAAACACAGTTTGTCACGCGGGAAGGAACTTACAAGCTAATGACTTTGTCAGAGTATTCAAGGCCAAACAGAGTCGGTTACACGAATAGTCAAGGAAGTGCATCCGTTAGGGTGTCTTTCGTAACTTTACCGGATCCAGCAGATCCCACGGGTACACAAGGACTTGGTGACCGAATGTGTTTCAATTTTGGCAAAGAGCTTTATATTTATGTCTACCGAGGAGTTAAAAAGGTAATTCATATTTCTCTTGTAACTAATACATTTGTTATTATATTTATATTTAATTGAGCATGGATTCATTGGAACCTAACCTCGAAAACGCGTATCAAGACTCCATCTTTGCACCATCACCACACCTAACATAGAGAGTTACATCTACTTTGTATATTAACTGCATGTAAAACTATATTTATTAAACTTATTTCTAATTAGAGGATTGATTTAATGTCAGATATGTTAATTATTTTATCTATAATGGTTACTTTTTTATTACTACTACATTTAAATTACAATATTCGTGTCATCTCTCTTTTTCTTTCACTTTTCTTCTCTTTCTTTCTCTTTCTTTAAGCTTAAACCAGTTAAATATTTAACTTCTTATTAACACATAACTATATACTAATTATTGTACAGTACATGTAAAAAATTTATAATCAGTATTTATAATTATAATGCAAATATTTAATATAAACGTATTCACTATTAATTTTGAAACATGATTTTAATAAACTTTTATATTTTATGAATGATATAACTAATTTAAATATTATAATAGATATAATAAATCAAATTTGTTAATTATGATGTACCTTAGTTCTAATAAGTTATTAAAGCATACAATGAGTTAATTTTATATGAAAATATTTCAGGCTGTGGATTTAAATAAGCCAGTGGACAAAAAATTATATAAGGGAACTAATCCAACTTGCCATAATTTTAATCAAACAACAGCAACTGCGGACAGTGCACCATTATTAGTTGGTTTTTCTACAGGTCAAATTCAATTGATAGAGCCAATAAAAAAGGAACTCAGTAAATTATATAATGAAGATGTAAGTAATTTGTTATGTTAAAAATGACAAATTATATCAATATACGAATATGATATATGCTCTGAATTAAATTTTTTGAATTTGTAAAGCGATTGTAAAATATTCATGGTACAATCCTAAAATTATCAGAATTAATTTATTAAATGTAAACGATGTATAATATAATAATTTATATGATAGAACTGTTACTAAAAAACTTATGCCAAAATGTTATTAGTATTTTATCTAATTTGTATGATGTAGATATCTTATTTTATTGAAACATGATAAATAAAAATGTTAGTTATTATAATAGTTTAATAATTTAATACTCTATGCTATGCTAAAATATACTTAGTACTATTCATGTGTAATATTTAATTATTGTAAATTTTATTTAAATTTTATGATCCAATTAAATAAATCAGTAATTATATAATTCTTTTGCTGACGTTTTTAAAAAGATATTTATTATTTATCATTCATTATTTCTTAAATAAGGAAATGTATATCTTTTAATGTTTCAGAGATTGATTGATAAAAGTAAAGTGACGTGTATAAAATGGGTTCCTGGATCAAACAATCTTTTCTTGGTATCCCATAGTTCTGGGCAACTATATTTATATAATGAAGAACTTTTATGTGGTACCACAGCCCCTCATTATCAATCTTTTAAATCTGGGGATGGTTATGCCATATATACTTGTAAAACAAAATCTACGAGAAATCCATTATATAGATGGGTAATAGGTGCAGAAGGATGTTGTATAAACGAATTTGCCTTTAGCCCATGTGGTTCAAATTTAGCAGTTGTTTCCCAAGATGGATTCCTACGAGTATTTCAGTATAATACAATGGAGTTAGTGGGTTCAGCTAGAAGTTATTTTGGTGGATTTTTATGTGTCTGTTGGTCTCCAGATGGAAGATATGTTGTTGTGGGCGGTGAAGATGATCTTGTGACAATTTGGAGTTTTCATGAAAAAAGAGTGGTGGCTCGGGGTCAAGGTCATCATAGTTGGGTAAGCGTAGTAGCTTTTGATCCTTATACTACTTCTTATGGAGATCATGATCCAGACTTCAGTGGTTCAGATGATGAAACATTACCACATAATAACCATAATCATTACCATGAGAAGGCAAATCGTTTGTCTACAACCTCACAAGGAATTCATTCAAATAGAAACTCTTGTGGTTCAGAATTAAGAGTGTCTGGTGGTACATGCTATAGGTTAGGTAGTGTATCACAAGATACTCAGTTGTGTTTGTGGGATATCACAGAAGATGTGTTAAGACAACCAATGTGTGCAAAACAAAGGCCATCTGCAGCAGGTTCTAGTACTCTTCCTACATCTGGAACAGTCAACAGTGGAAATGGTTCAACAACGAATCACCATTTGAACAATTCTAAACATAATAATTTGAATAATGTTAATTGCAAAGAAAACGCGAGTGGTAATAATGATAGTAGTAATAATAGCATGAGTACAAATACAGCAGTGTCAACTGTAAATTCCTTGACACAAAGGTTAGCAGGCCTTGGTTTTGGTGAGCGTAAAGGTGATAATCATAAAAGGAACTTTAGCCTCACTATGAGAGGTAGTGGTGCATCTAATAGCACAATAATACAGAACAGTAGTGGTGATAAAGCTACCACTAATTTAAATACAAGTAGTAATTTGAACAGTGTCAGTGGAAGTTTAGTAGGTGCAAATAAGAAGGTTAGTTCTGTGATGGATGATCCTATGAGGTTGATAGGAACTGCCTGGTGCCCTAGGTTTGACGAGTGCCCAGTGCTAGAACCACTGGTGTGCAAGAAGTTGGCACACGAAAGATTGACTGAATTAGTGTTTAGGGAAGATTGCTTCGTAACAGCATGTCAAGATGGATATGTCTACACATGGGCAAGGCCTGGTCACATGGTAGGTCCTCTCACCATCAGCAGCACTCTGCACAGGCCACATCATCATAGCAATCCTTACACCAACATTAATTCCCTGCGATCTAATGATCTATGATGTAATCCATCTTCAATCGTTATTGCAATTTTGTGAAGTAGGATTTTTTAGTAATGAATTCCAATTTGTATATAGGTAGAAATAAAACTTGAAATCATTATCACTAATAAATGAGAAAAATAGAGAATACAATAATACTTTGGACAATTTTTCTATTGTCGTTAAATTGTATTAGGTAAAAAATGTTTTTTTTAGACACGTAACTTTATTAAATGTGAAAGGGTGATTTTGTTATTTTTCATCTTTAGTATTGTAATGAACATTGTTCTTGTGGCATCATATATCTATGTATGTATATATATGATACATGTATGTGTGTGTGTATATATATATATACATATATGTATATAAAATTTTTATTTTAGAATGAATGTATTTCTTGTATTTACAAATTAAATGCTAGTTTTTACATTTTATCCAAAACATTATATATTATATTAAAAGGTGCCATTGGAATACATTAAAGATTTAGTAATATCTTTTAGTCTGTATTGTATATCAATTACAGAAATATATGAATGGATGATACTATGAATGGACAAATTTAATACATCAATTTATATTTTCACAAAATTTCTGGTGCATGATACATAAAACATAATTTTTCTATTGTACGATACATAAAATATAACATTTTACATTTAATTTTTATATACAAAAACTTTTATTTAAATTCTTAAGAAAAATATAAATTTATAAAATTATTTTTTAAAATTCATTTCATAAATTCTAATATTAATTGAATAATAACAAATCAAGGAAGTCATGGACATAAGTGATATATTCATTCATAGTATAAAGCATTTATATTTGTGCCTAATGATCATCTGGTCAAAATATATTCAATATAAATATTAAAGGAATATATTAGTATGATTATAAATAGAATATATTTATATTTGATTTGCATCATTGAGAGTAATATTGTTTGCGCCCCATAAGATTTTGTAACAGGGCAGGCCCCTTAAAACCCTTTTTTCTTTCCTCTAAAGTGTTATTAGCTTAGCTTAGCAAATGATAGACAGTCAATGAATTTAGTTAAACTATTGTCCTGGATTATAATGATATGACATTTAATCCTTTGTTGAAAACAATGAATTGCCTTGTTGTACAATAAAGTAAAACTTTGAATGAAATATTGCGCTTGCTTCCTGCTTGAGTTTTATACAAAATGTAATGCAGAAGCTCCAAAAGAAAAATTGAATCACATATATTTATAAATATGTGTATGTTTATACAAGTCTTTACAACTTATTTCAATACCATAATATTTTGAATGACTATATTATTATTTTTTTATTTTAATGTATGATGTATTCTATATTACTATTTTTTTTATTCAAAATGTATAAATTTAAAATGTCAGATTCAATTTTCTGGTGTTCTGCAAGCATTTCTATCATCAAAAACCTTATGCTCCTTTATGTTATAGTGGTTTAACCAATCAAAATTTTTGTGATAATTTTCATATAGTATGCATTGCTTCTTTTATAGTGACAGTCTTATAATTTTATCGGAAGATGCTTGTGCTTGTTTCTTAAGCCGGTGGAACATTAATTTTTTACTTTGATTGGAAAGATTAATGTTCTGTACCATGCTTTGGCTGATGCAAGAGAATCATGGATGAGTCTTCCCAAAGTTTATCGCATGGTACGTATAATGATTTATTGTTCTTTTGACTTATTCATTGCTTGATCGGATAAAGTAGTATATTATGTTTTTTATATATGCTCGTTTTAGTAGTATGTACCTTGCTAAGGGATTTTTAAATTGTGTATCAATTATAATTCTATGCTATTATTGTGCTGTTCTTGTGCACTTATAGAAATTGTATTTATGTTCCAATTTATGTCCAAATGCTTCTAATATTTGCAGAATTTTTTTGAAGACAAATAAAGTTATGTTTGGTAGTGAATTTTTGTGCATCTTTTAATTACAGCCAGGAATAGGACAGGTTGGAAATGCTCTCCACGTTGTCAGTCCTGCGGAAGGGGGTGGTACCATAGTATAGCCAGAACCAGATATTAATACATCTTCAAAGCACGAAGAAAAATACGTCCCATTAATGCGTACGCTGCAATCTTCCAAAATGCAGTTTCAACCATATACCCATTATCGTCACTTGTATTATGTATGGCCAAGTGAAAATTATTCCAGTGTTGTTTGAAAAATGGGTGATTCCAAAAGCATCTAACAATTGATTGCTTAAAAATACATTTTTATTTGGTAAGTTATTTTTGGTGAATTGCCCTTCTTTTACAATTTATTTTTTCTTTTTTAAATGCGATGAAGTTCAAATTTCATAATGTTATACAAATTTTATAAAAGAATCCAGCGAAAGTAATACATAAATTGTGTGTACATGTATATATGTATACATATGTATGTTTGATCTTACATACTGTACTAAATCATTCCAATAAGACCCACTTAGGAAAATAAATTTTAATTGAATGGTGTTAATACTAAATGCTTATATATATTGACAAAAAATTTTATATTACCATATTTAGTTATAATTATGTAGAAAAATGATTTCAAATAGTGAGCTTTTTGCATAGATTAAAAAACAGTGCAACTCTTGTAATCAGTCAGAGCAATATGTAAATATAAAATATTTTAAACAGTATTTTAATTTGCATATTTGTGTTATTAGATATTAATTGTTTTTATTTTGAGTAATATTATGTATGAAAAAAGCGAATTAGCTAGAATGCAAAACAGAATTTATGTCATTTTTTAAATTTAATTTTAGCAAATATTTTTTTATGTCGTTAACTTTAAGAAATATTTACTGAAAATATATGTTATAACTTCCTTCTTTATGTTTCTCTTTCTTGTTAATGCAGTTCAGGTATATAGTCGGGTTATCGCTAACTAAATTGCCTTAATAAGATTGTAAGTTAAATAAAGGAAATTTTTATTTGTTCTATAATGTGGTTACACAAATATGTTTCTGAGAAACTTGTTCGCTTTATTGAAAATCTATAATGAGTGCATCGTCGATGTACGATCAGTTGAAAACGTAGTGTAAAAAGTGACTTTATATCTGAGAGCTACAAAGTATTGGTCATAAATAATTAATTAAAAATCTAAATAAAAAAATAACTTGTATATTTTTACAATAGTTGTTTTAGATTTCTATCTAATTATAACTTTGTACGGAGCTTTTTGAAAGAGCTTGTTGTGAGACAAATATTGTATCTTTTAATTCAATTTACAAAAGTTCTATGTATTCTTATTAAAACATAACAATGAATCATTTTTACAACGAATAAATAGATATTTTTATATAGTTCTCAGATACGAAAGTCTATCACAATAAACAAATAATTATGAATGTATGAACAAATAGTTACTGAATATTCTAACGATAGACAGTATTTCATATTGCATATTCCATACGGCGATACTATTTATTACTTTATAAAAATAAATAATTAAAAAAATATATATATATACATATATATACACACGTTAAAATATTAACATCAGAATGTAAAAACAATTTGTATTGTTGTAATTTTTAAACAGTTTGAAACGATGATGCATTTTTTCATCTATCATGGGCATTTTTTTCAAAATATTATTAATTTAATGACGAAATGCAAACAAAGTGCAGAATTGTAATTATATAAAATTTGCATTTACTCATTATTATACAAAATTGATAAGTAAACTATATGATTTAAATAATTGTGAACCAGTGTTTCTTGGACAATAATATTTGTCATGGCATGCATTCAAATAATCATCAATATTTTATGATTGTGAACTATTTTATAGATTCAATTCATATTAGTCATTGAGAATCACTGGTCTTGGCGATACTATACTTTTTCTGAAATTTTTTTATAAAATTATTAAAAGTATTTCAAAAGATATTTTTATGTATATTCGTACTTTATGTTATAAGTAAATGAATTATTCAATATATATATATATATGCGTATTGTATATATATTAATAAGTTCTGTTTTTATGCAGATAAAAATAATGGAGAGACAGAGGTAATTCTGTTTTGAAAGGTATGTTTTAATATGACATGTAAAGGGAAACAATAACAATTATGTTTTTATGTTAAATTAATAAACATAAAAGTGTTATTGCAATAATAACAGCATCGTAGCTTTCGTGATAATTGTCGGTATTTCAGGCAAGAATTGACAAGCTTTATTCTGTTATTTGAAACTTCACGCTTGATACCGTCTACTTTTCGATAAACAATAAATATGTAACATTGCTCTTTTTCATTCAAGCTCTTCGAGATGTACTGTGATACATGCGTATGCTGACATTGACTAATTACCTAATTGTAAGTAACGAAAGTGAGAATTATGCTAATGTCGTATGTTGAGGCGAATAATTAATTTTCAAGCTGTTGATTGACTGTTTCTTGTATCGGTATGCGTTATTAAGCCGGAAATAATCGGAGGCTGGCCTGTTAGATACCAAACTATATTTCATTTATTGAATCGGAGATTTATAATGTTCCTACATTGTAAACTAATTAACGAGTCCATAATAAATAATAATAATGTTTTATTTCATGATTAGTACTGATCAGAGAAATCGCAGTATCAGATTTATTAATTAATTTATAAAATTATTTCATTCGACGAACATACATGTATATTTCTTGAATTTTTCTTAAATTTTACAAAATTTTTATTTTCTCAACTATTACTATATACTATTCGAAGATGTTTTTCTCGTTTCGTAAAGCGAACAAGATTCCTTTATATCGAAAAAATTTGTAGGCGCAATTTATCTAATATTATGAATACAGATCGATACAACGATGCGAAGAAATATTTTATTGCGAACTGGTTGACTAGTCTGGCTGATTATATCTATACAGATGCACCGATCATTTCCTATTTGTTGACTTTTTTATGAGATATTTTCTAAAACAATTTTATGATATCGCATTAAATTTCTAATTCTTTTCGCATTTTACTTCATTTATTTATAAAGGTGTACATTCTTTGTAATTATAAATGAAACAAATTTAATTGTTATTACTGTCGTGCATTTTTCTTTATAACACATTTACCCGATACTATATTATTTCCAACGACGTAGTTACTTAGGTCTTATTTTCTACAATTATTTATATGATTCATAAAATTCATAAAAACTGTGATTCATAAAAATTTAATTAAATTCTTTTATAACGCTGTCTGCCTAGCCGACTGCGATTGCGTTCTATTTGTTTTGCGTTTTTACATTTTTTTTTTTTTTGTAAATTTACTAGTGCAGCAAAATTTTATTTTGTAACTGATTTCACAATATGAAAAATTTTTTATACAATATACTTGATAAATTTTCTGGGAATTTAATAAATAAGAGAAATGAAAAAATTACAAATACTTCGTGTAGATAACGACCTGGTGCAAAGAGTGGATTTACGAATAGGTAATAATGTTATTGGCCGAAATGTAAAAATTGGAGTAAGTATAGCAATTATGTAAAGGAAAAATATAACAAAATAATCAATGTTTTTTAATCATCAAATATTAAATTTAAAAATTCTAATATATTATATGTGTTAACATATATGTATACATTTCACGCATGCGTTGATGAGTATACATTATTATGTGTAAGCTTTTTTTCATATATCGCCTCTAAATTAAATGAATTTGTAGTTTTTTAACATAAAACTATTATAAATTATAAACATTGAGTTTGTATAACTTGAATTTCAGTGTAATGATGATCAAGTTATAAAATATGCTGCAGTAATAAATTTAACATCTGACAATGAAATGACAATAACACCGGTGAGAAGAAACTTGTAATTATTATTATTATTATTGTTATTATCATCATTATTATTATTATTATTATATAAAGAAGTAAAACATACGTAAAGAAGTTAATATTTCTATTTTTTTCATACTTTAATATGTTTAATATCACAAATGTTGTAAAAGACTTGTAATTGGAGTGTAAACTTTATTAGAACATACAAATATAAAACAGACGAAAGAAAGTAAATAGTTACTTAAAATTGCTTTAGAATTAATTTTTTATTACTTTTATTACATTCTAACCTTGTTATTTCCCTGTATGTAGTTTCTTATAATAACATATAAAAGTATAAAAGAATCAGAGATATTTTTTTGCTGTAAATAATCTAGCATAGATATATTGAATGTATTATTTATTAGTGTTCTATAGGAATTATTTTCTAGTATCAGATTGCACCATGTTATATGAAGTCTATTGAATCATCGAGATGGCAGCTTCTTAAATTGGGTGTTACAGTTCCAATAAAACCTGGAGATGTTTGTACTCTGGTACCAGATAAATGTTGGTTTAAAATTATATCAGTGCCTGAGAGAATAGAAAATAATGAGGACTCTATACTAAAACGAAAAGTATTAAATTAATATTTTAAATGATGATATAATCTACTTTTCAACATTTCTTAATAATTACATTATAGGCTGATGAAGATATAGATTGTAATACTACACATGATAAAAGATTCTGTTCAGGAGAAGGAGATAATTCACAGTCTCTATGCAATGCATTGGATGAAGTATTAAATAATAGCAATGATATAAATAAAATTGATGTTGAAAAAACTGTTATAAATGAAAATAATTTATTATATAATAATGATGAAAATAAAATGGAGGATTTAAACTCTACATTAATATGTGAATATCATAACATAGATCAATCATCTGTAATTAAAGAAGATTATAAAATTCAAAATATGAATATAGAAGAAGACAATAAACCTTCTACAAGTGAACAGACTTTAAGTCTTAAGGAGAATTTAGATTTATCTTGCACAAATGAAATAGCATTGGTAAAAGATACACAATCCTGTATTTCAAATGGACAGGAATCAGGAACATCTAACAATGCAGCAATAAATGATTTTAAAAGAAACAAATGCAAATATGGAAAGAAATGCTATAGGTAATTTTATATATTTTTTCTTATTTTAAAATGTTTCATGAAAAAATTTTTTGGCAGGAAAAATTCACAGCATAAAAATAAATTTAGTCATCCTGGAGATTCTGATTATGATATACCTGATAATAGACAAGAATGTCCTTATGGTACTAGATGTTATCGTAAAAATCTTCAGCATAAAATAGAATTTAAACATAGTGATACAAATATTACAAATAAACGTAAAAAACAAAATTCAAAACGAACTAAAGTACAAGAATCTTTCGATACTTTAAATGGAATGGAAGATTCATCTGTAGAGGAATCTGCTGAAGAATCTGTCGATGAGTCTGAATATGAACCTTCTGATATTGAAAGTTCTGATGATAATGAAATGTATTCTGACAAAAATGAAAGTGAACTAGAAAATGATATTGTTGACTAAGAGATGAAATATTTTTTCATTTTAAAATATTTGGATATTTTTGAATTACTCATATAGATTTAATTGTATGTGTTTAATTTTAGATTCATGTTTGCCATAAATTTTTATATTTACATAAAAACATATATCAATATAAGAAAAGTGACAATATAAAAATTATATATCTTATAAATATTTTTGCAATATTGAAGTTGATAGGTATAAAGAAATTTTATTTCTTACAAATGTGAGATGTATAAAAACAATATTAAATAAACAATCTAAGAATAATCATAATATGTGATTATATTTTTTTATGTGATTATTTTTAAGTATACTACAGTGAACCCTTGATTTTTGATCTAGTTTAATGTTTGAACAAACTAAAATTCAAATAAAAAATTCGAGAATTCAATCTTGGAATTTCAACCAAAACACATAAGTAAAATAGAGGCAGAGTTGAGTACTAAAAAATAAATGAAAATTCCTTTGCTATTTAATTACCTAACTACTAAAGATGCTAATTGTGATCAAACTATTGCTAAAATTGATATAAAAACTGTTTCTTTGTAATTTAAATTAGTTTATTTAATACTTAAAATGTTTTGTATAAATAGGCATTTAAAATTTTTTAGACATAGAAAAGCTATTTCTTCTCTGATTTCAGTGATTTTTTAATGTGTTGTAGAAATCAATCATTTTAAACAATTTTTTCCTGTATAATCGGCAATTGGATTTAATTTTTGAGATACTCACAAAAAATTGCCAGTACTGCATGTTCATTGTTTCATCTTTATATCATACAAATAACTTCATGTTACAAATAATTTTTAAATAAATGACTTCTGACGTTTATAACCTTCGTTCATAACTGTATATACCATTGTTTGTTTGCAACGTTTGTACCTTATAGAACAGAAAATAAGTATTTTATGCAAACTTTATCAAGGTTTGGCCATGCAGAATTCATTATAGTGACACCAACAGTTATTTTTAAATATCTTGGAAATTAAATCCAACTGTCGTACGTATAAATTTGTCCATTATATCTACAAAAAGTTGTTTAAAATGCTTGTATTTTATTCAAAAATCATCCAAATGGAATAAACAATAATTTTTCTACAACTTCATTACTTTTTATATTGGATTTTGGTGTTTTGGGACAGTAATTCAATTTATGACAAGTTTAATTTGAAACTTGAATATCAACTCAAAATCAATTATGTTTAGAATTCAAGGGTCCACAGTATTAAGTTTCTTAATAAGCTTGATATCCTTCATCACTGTCTGCATACTCTTCGGTAGCCACATCTACAAGCAAATGTTTTGGTATTTCTGAACCTCTTACTTTAATCGTATAACAAACACTTTCTATTTTATGGAGACTTTGTTTAAGTGTGGAAAGTTTCCTGTGTATTTCTCTATTTGATATACTTGCACAACCAAGGAAACCTTTGTATATATTTCTAACAAAGTTGCACGTTTGATAACAACTAGCTCTGTCTCCTAATGCCAAGTTATTAATACATTGACGCATTAATTCTCCAGTCAGATCTGCAATCCCTAAGATATATTCAAATGGAGTGACTAAAATCTGTATAGTTTTATCATTTGATATCTCAGGAAATGTATAAGTAAGTGTTTTCTCCAGTTCTACCCAATTTTCCATGTTACCACATTTTAAGTACTGATAAAATGTAACAGCTTCTATGTATTCTTCCAATCCATTACGATAACCTTTGAGATAGAGATACGGATCTTGATTCTTTAATTCAAATGCAATAGCTTTAAATTGGTGTTGTGCAACTTTTTGCAATCTCAAATTAGCTTCACATAACACACTTTCTTGTTTATTTTTCTTATCTATGGTGTGTAAAAGAAAAATTATTCTTTTGCTTTCTATAGTAATGTCTCTGCCAATTTTGACAATTCTCTCGAAACGATCGTGTTTCTCGTCTAACTCATCCGCATATGCTCGAAATTGTTGTACAATTAAACTATTTTCGTCCATGCTTTCCACGTTCTCTTGTTTTCTATCATCGATGTTAATTTTCTTATTGCTGCGATGTCCACGATTCTTTCCATCACCTTTGTTCAATCAATAAAATAAGAAAGTCAAATTTGTAATATTTTTTGCTAAAATATTATTATTTATTATTGTTTTTTATAAGTGTTTAAATAAAGTGTTTAATTTCATAAGGTAAATGGTAATTTAACGTTGTATCATATCATGGGTTTGATGTATATGTATATGAAACGATGTACGAGTATAATAATGTAAATAATATAAAATAAATTTAATATATTTTAAAATTTCGTTAATGTACCTTTGGCTTGCGACATAATGATTATTGTTCCACTGATATGTTACGTTAAATTGTATGCAAATATAATTCCTGTCAATAACCAACCTCTACATGTAATACCATAGACGAGATGTAGAAAATATCTGGCAATTTGAGCAATCCTTATAATAGAAAAGACTTTTTAAATGAAATTGAAATTATTTTGAAAAGTAAAATCATTCAGATATGAAGCATATTTTATTACGCACTATAAAATGAGATAAATTAAATTCACTAATTCGATAAAAGTAAAAATTACGACGTAAGATTGAGATATGCTTGTTGTAAAGTGTTGTAAAGAAATAAAATTACTATCATTTTTTTAAATTAATTGTTTTATTTATTGTTTTAAATTAATTGTTTTAGAGAAAAAGGGTCTTTTATTTCTTGTTTTAAGTTGTACAGTGTATTTTCATACGAAATGCGCGCGCACTGATTTTAGCTTAAGTTAGGTTTAGGTAGGTGCAATTTCGACGATTGCAGCGCCAATGAAACGAAATCGCATACATATTTCGATATTCATATGATCGATATAGTCATGTCATTATAATCGATGTAATTTCTCGCATCAGTGTAGAAGAGAAGCACAGCAAGAAGGAACATCGTCCAGTTGTCTTAAATACTTTACATAGATTTTTTACGATGTTTTATCTTTCACTAATCATGTCTACGTTACTTCGTTTAATTAAGGTATATGTTTATTTAATAATTAATGACATATTGTTAAAACTGATCACAAAATTACTTTCTCTTTGATTGTCTACTTACTACTAACTCGTATTATGAGTTTTCAAAATGACATTTGACTTTGATCATTGCTTTATTTTTGCATAATTTGTTCTTTTTGTATATTTGTTTGAAAGTTTTGGTTTTTTTTTTTGTACAGATGACTAGTACGATTATTATGATAAAAACTCTGAAGCATTAGGAAGATATCATGAAGTTTGGAAGAGTGTTCTGAAATTCAAAAGCACGCAGTGATAATTAATGATAAATTGGATAGCTTTTCGTAGTAAGTACAGTAATATTCAATTTATTTTAATGAAGCAATGATTTTTTTCTCGAAAAGGACCGCTATATCATAGATATGTAATTTTAAACATGTTCTGCGCATCGTGTTATTTGGGTACTGCGCAGCTTTAACTGGCAGAAAAAGCGCGCCAAATTTGATTAGTATAAATATTACATAAAACTCTAATGATAGATATTCAGATTATATTTTTTGCAAATTAAATAGATTATAAAATATTCATAAATATTTCACTATATAATGCATAAGTATCAAAAATGATGAAAATTTAACAGGATCTTAGAATTTCTTGAATTTTTGTCGTTTAACTCTAATATTCAAAGGGTTATTGTAAAGGGGAGGCTTCAATCTCCAAATTTATGATGGATTCAGTTGTAAAAAAAGTTTTTTAATGTTCTGACATATTTGAATTTATAGCATTCTCTACAGGAGAAAAAACAATAAGCTGATATGCTTAAGATAAAATTGCTTTCTCATTTACTATATGATATGAAAATGTTTTTGTGAAAAATGAATCCAAGATTATGAAAGTAAAAGTTTCACGCTATAAAATGAGCTCAGATTCATTGCTGTATGATTTCGAAAATTATAACAGTTTAAATATCGTCAATTTTTCGAAATATTGGAAACTTAGTATAACTAAGTTTATGTCCACCGCTATAGTTATTTTCGGAGTTTAATTGTATAAAGTTTTTATGATGTACTCAAGAATGTTTGAAGGGATATTTAAATCACTATAATAAGCCTCGTGAAGTTTTTTAATTACTTATAAATATTAATAGAAGTTTAAAATCTTGTCTTGATGATAAGGTAGAACTCTGTATATTACATGCGAGTAATATGGAAATCGCTTTTCTTGCGATTAAGACAATATGAAATATGTTAAATATGAAAAACAGGATGGACAAATATTATGTATAACCTTTTATGTTTTATTTCTATTATAAAATAATTTATTTTACGACAGCAGAATAATTTTGTCGAACTACAATATCGCAAAATAATTTCATATATCTTCTATATTTATTTTCTGTTCGATCGAATGTAAAATTTCTTCGTTGGAGATGTACTTCTTCAAAAGTATCTTTAACTCATCGTCTGGATTATCCAGATTGTCCGTAGTTATCGTGTATTTCTTTACTTTTTTAATCGTTCTCATGATACATCTTTCGAATCCTAAACTTTTCTCTTTCAACTTTTGATAAACACATTGTAATTCGCTTGCCTTGTGTTTCAAATCGGAATTGATTTTCCTCAAGGTATACAGTTCATCCTTTAAGGCAACCTTCTCAGACTCTAATCGATCCAATTTCGAACCAGCAGTATCCAGTCGAACCCGTAGAGACTCTTTTTCGTCTCTCAGTTTCGTCAGTTCCGCTTTCAATGCATGAATTTCTTCATTTGCAACTCGCAGCTTATCCTTCCTTTTCTCGTCCTTCGTGAAATTGGCAACGAAACTGTACTTCAGAGAATTTACCTCCATTTTGAGGGCGATGTTCTCTACTTTTAATTTATTCATGATCTCTATTAATTTCTCGATTTCGATCTCTTCTTCTGTTACCGATCTGTCGTAAGGATATAAATTCGATTGGTTGATATGTGCTAGCGCGCCTACGTTATTCACACCATGACTCGAATAACTATCGACTTCTTTATAGTAAAGATTCACGATCTCTAGCTTATTAGAAATTGGCTTAATGGCGAGTTCATTCGTCTTGTCTTCGATTAACACGACCTTTTGCTTTTGAAGCAAATCGTCCTTCATTCGAGCCAGTTGCATTTTAATTTCGAAATTTTGGCTTCTCAGGTTTAACATCTCGAATCTTAACGATTCGTTTTCTACTATCATCCTCTTCAACTCTTTTTTCGCTTTCATTAATTTTGTTTTATTATTCGGGTATTTGCCAGATTTGCCATTGACCGTTTCCCGTTTTTCTGTCACACGTTCGATAACTTGTTCGTTCTGTTCGGTGAAAGTTGATTTGCTGTTTGTCACGGTTTCGTCTCTTTCAATCTTGCAGATTTTGGATCGCAAACTGCTCACGTATTCTTGTTCTAACAATTCTTTCTCCTTCTTCAACGTGGCATTCATCGTTTCTAAAATTTTTAGCTGGTTGTCCAATATTCTGCACTCGCTGTGAATCGCATTCAGCTTCAGGTTCAATTCCTCGCTGGCTTTCTTCAACGTCTCGTTACTCTGTGTCGTCTCGTCGAGGGTGACTTGCAGAGCCGTGTTTTCCGATCTTATTTTACTATAATCCGTTTTTAATTTATTTAATTCGACATTGGAGTATTCGTTCGCCGTTTTAACTTCGTTCAGTTCACCATTTAGCTTGGTATTCTTATTTTCCAGTTCGTTAACGCACATGACAAGTCGACTCTTCTCTGACAGAAGCGTTTGAACCCGATCCTCGAAGCTGACATTCTTTAAAGTCAGTCCGCTCACATCGTCCTGCAATTTCGAATTTTCGAATTTTAATCGTTTTATTTTATCCCCGGCGCCGTTCAATCCCGTTTGCGTATCTTCCAACTTGTTACTTAAATGTTCGTTGCTCATTCGGAAGTTTCTGATCTCCTCGAGTAGATTGTCCCGTTCGCAAGCGTATTTATCAATTTCGTCCTCGAGCACGGAACACTTGGCGCGGACGTGCCTCACGGACTCTTCCAGTAGTTCCTTCTCGATCCTTACATTCGTTAAATTCGTGTTCAGTTGTTCCTTTTCTTTCTTGAGATTCGCCCTTTCGAGATCTAATTCGTTGTAATCCGACTTCAACTTACTGATCTCCTTCAATCGTTCCTCGGCGGTAGTTCTCTCGACTCCTAGTTGATACACGAGCGTCTCTTTCTTTGATTCCAGGTGAAAAACATTCTCCTCCAGCCGCGTCTTATCATCGACGAGATGTTTCAGCTTCATTTTCAGATCGGCAATTTCGCGATTCGCGCTCTCGAGGCTGTTCCTCGATGTCGTTAGGTTCACTTTCAGTTGCTGTAATTCAACCTTCATTTTCTCCGGCGCTTCGTTTCGCGAGCGTTTCGCATTCTCATTTTCTTTCTCGGCGATCGTAGTTTCCCGTTTACACTTGGCTCGTTCTAATTCGTTTACCTTGTTTTGTAATTTTTCATTCTCCTTCGAAGTAATCTGAAGGTTCCGCGCCAGGTCCGCGATCTTCGCGTTTAACGCCCTCTCCGTCGTGTTTCTCTCGATAAGAGCGTTCGCCGCCTCGTCGTTTTTCTTTTGCAGAGTGTCACGAATTTTTCCCATTTCCTTCAACAATCCCTCCTTATCGCCCTGCAGATTTTGTAATTTCTTTCTCGTTAAACTCGCCTCGCGTTTCACCTGTTGCAGCTGTTCCAGCTTCTTCCTTGAATCTTCCTGGTCACGCTGCATCTCCAACGCTCTCTCCTCTATCATCCTTGTTTTCTCTTTCAAAACTTTGTTCTCTTCCCCCAGAATGACAATCTCCCTCTGCGTGTCCTCCAATTCTTTTATCCTCTGTTCCAGCAAATTTCCAGTATCGAGCAGCTCTCGCTCGAGAACGTTCACGTGGTCGTCTCTCTCGGCCAATTCTGATCTTAATCGAACGATCAATCCCTCCAGCTGTTCGATCTTCTTGAATGTACTTGGACGATCGTTGGATACGACGATCATTTCTAACTGCTTGATCTCGTGGCACATTCTACCGACGAAATCTTCCAATTTTTCAATGTCCTTCGACTCGTTTGAATTTCCTTCCGCACGACGATTCAATCCGTTCATCGTCGATCGTGCTTCCTCGATGATCGCCTCGAGCTCCTCTATTTTATTCAAGTATTCCAGACCATCGCCACCGTCGATTTTGTAATGCTTCTTAACGTGATTGTTCTTTAACTTATCGATTTCAACGTTGATCTCCTTTAAAGTCGACTCCAAAGTCGAAAGTTGCTCGAAATGCTTGTTATTAGACATCGTTATTTCCACTCGAGTGGAAGGGCACAGCTCGCCAGTAAATCTCGCAAGTTCAACGTGCAGCTGTTTCAAATTAACGCTCAGCTCGATGATCTTTTGCACGTATTTCAAACAATCTGGATCGCCACCAGCAAGCAGCGCTTCGTGGTCGTTTCTCAATTTATTCTTCAAGCCTTTTGCCAGTCGTTCGACGTTGTCGAGATTATACTGGCAATTCTGGCTCACGTTCCACGAATTGCCGTCGAAATTAACTTTCAGTCTGTTTAATTCCATCTTCAAACGTTTCGTTAGATTATCCAGCTCGACGATCCTCTTCTGATAGTCCATTAGATTGCCACTGTTGTGCCGTATCACCGCTTTCAGCTTATCGATCTCCACGTACAAATTATTGTTGATCACTCGCGACCTGTGCAAACGATCATTTATGTTGACCAGTT